AATAAGCACACAAAGGCGCGCACTGTTAGCAGCTATTGGCTGCTTATTCAGGACGGCCACGAGAGCCACAACTCAGTCGAATTCCACTAGTACTGCGAGGAACACAAGATTATTACCCTGTGTATGCCTCCACACTTGTCGCACCTACTGCAGCCACTTGACGTAGGCTGTTTTGCCCCGTTGAAGAAGGCCTATAGCCGCCAAGCTGAGCGGCTGATGCGCAGCAAGATTACTCGCATCACCAAACTTGAGTTCTTGCTGTGCTTCAAAGCGGCTTTTGACGCCTCAATCACAGAAAACAACATCTAGGGAGGATTCAGAGGTGCTGGCCTAGTCCTACTTAACCTAGAGGCTGTGCTATTAAAGCTTGAAGTACAGCTGCGCACGCTAATGCCACCTACTGTGGACAACAGTACGTGGGAGTCTAAAACACTAAGCAACACCCTAGAATTTAGGTCTTAATTAAAGCTAATTTAAGAGAGGATTTAGAGACACGCTAATATCTTGCCAACGTCTATAGTTAATGCTCTTAATTAGCTTACTAAAGGCGCAGAGCTAATGGCGCATTCACTAGTTTTAGTGCGCAACTAGGTTGCTGACGTACAGGCAGCTAACAAGGCTGCTACACGTTGTAAATTACACAAAAGGAAGCAATTACAGCAAGAGGGGACTCTAGTCTTTGCTAAGGGAGTGCGGCTAACTACTCTAAAGGAGTTTAAGGCCTGTAGTGATAGGAAGAAGGCAAAGAAGAGGTTGCGTGTTGATAGGAGCACTTAGTCTCTAAGGCGCTGTGGCATATGTAGCAAGACAGGGCACAACGCGCGAACATGCAGTAAAGATACACAGAGTACTACAGACTAGTTTAGTATACTGTGTAGTATAATATATTATAGTTGTGTGCTGTAATGTTGCAAAGTAGGTGCAGTATTGGTGTGGTCTTAGCAAAAGTGGCCAGCTCGCTTGGGTGGCCAGCTTGCTTGTGGAGTACGTTAGCTTAGATTCCCCTGTTTGTGTCTCGGAGAAGAGACATTGTAAGTCTTGTCTCCTGTAGGCTGCTCTTTATTTTCTTTCTTACTTCTCTATAGTTTCTATAGCTAAGCAGTAGGTGTTAAGGTGTTTGTATATATCTATAGCTGTATTTAGAGCTTTCTATTTTTTGTATATTCTATAGATATACTTTATTGTATCCATGTCTAAGCTTCAGCTAGTAGTATGCGCTTATAATTTCTCTTCTAGTGTTTTTTAGTAGTGTTATCTTGCTTGTTAGTTTTAGCAAGAATCTTGCTATATAGGTGCTAGGATTTCTAAGCTTTGCTTTTATAGAGTAGGCTTAGAGTTTCTATTACTACTCTTATCTTGCAATAGCTTTAATCCTAATACCTAATATTATAAGGCTTATAGTATTAGATACTAGTTACTATTTTGTAGCTTGTTTTGCTAAGGCGTCTGCTTTTTTATTTCCTGTGATATCTAGGTGTCCTAGGGTCTAGTGTAGGCTAACTATTGCACCTTTACTGTAAATTGCCTTTACTGCGTTTGTGTAGTAGATTTGCTAAGCTTGTCTAGGGTTATTAGAAGGAGTCTTTAGCCTTAGAATAGCTGCCTAGTTGTCTGCAAAGACTTAGATCTCTTGTGTTGCTGTAGCTATAGAAGCTGCAAACTTAAAGGCTGTTGTTATGCCTTCTAGGTCTCTATTATATACAATCTAGCCTTTGCTAATATTATATTTAGTAGAGTAGATCTCCTTAGCCTACTATTTATAGTCTAGAGTAGTAACTCCTATTCCTATTCCTGTGCCTTTCTTAATAGAAGAGGCGTCTGTGTAGATAGTAAGTAGGTTGTCTTATAGTCTTTGTAGCATTTGTGTTTTGTGTTGCTCTACTTCTTCTTCTTTAGAGAGTTTAGAGATCTCTGCTGTGTATAATATAGTCTTATTCTAGGGGCAGAAATAGTAGTCCTGCAGTTTTTCTTCTTCTATGCTAGGAGTAGTATTTTATATTAATTGTACAATTTGTATAAGTTAAGTAGGTAGGCCTATTCTTAGCCTTAAGAGAGCAGTTTCTTCCTCTTATTCTGTGCTAGACTCTAAGTCTTCTCTTTATAACTATAGAGTAGCTTTTAGAGTCTTAATTACAATATAAAAAGGGTGGTCTTTAGGTAGCTTCCTAGCTCTGAAGGCGTACTTTCTTAGAGCAGTATTTAGTCTTATAGCAGGGGGAGGAAGTGCTGCCTCTGTCTTCTGTGGTGCTATAGCTGTAGCTGTTGTAGTTTAGCAAGCAGCTGGTTTAGAGCGACGTGGTCAAAGGCACCTTTAATATCTAGGAATACTGTAGATCTTGTGCGTTTTAGTATTCTTTGCTCTTGGACCTGGTTTAGCAGCAGTATAGATGTGTCTATTGCGGATTTTTGTGCTCTCCCTCCTAGTTATAAGGGGTGAAGAAGAGCTGTTTTTCTGCAAGAGTTCTAAGGCGTTTTACTACTACTCTATCTGCAACCTTGCCTAGGAAGCTAAGCAAGGCAATTACTCTATAGGCTTCAGGTGCAGCGTAATTAGGCTTGTGTAGCTTTTTTAGGATAATTCCTGTTGCTTTCTTCTATTCCTGTGGGTGGTAGCTGTAGTTAAATAGAGCAGAGAAGACAGAGAAAAATATTTCTATCTGTGCTTTATATGTTGCAGTAATTATCTCTTGTGTTAGAGCGTCTGGCCCTAGAGAGCTGCTTTGGATTTGTGATGAGCAAGCGTATTCTAGCTCTTCTACAGTAAGATTAGGCCATTCCTAGTTGCTTGGTTGGTAGCTGTTCCACTCTATAGGCCTAGAAGCAGGAGGGCTAGGGAAGAGAGTTTCTTTTAGTGCTGAGCATTTGCCTTAAAAAGATTCCTCTATTCCTCTTAGGCCTTGGATAGCAGGTATGTTCTAGCTATAAGTAGTTCTAGTATAAGCCATAGATTTAAAGACTGATTTAGGGTCCTCTCTCTCTAGGAAATGGTTCTAATGGTTCTAATGGTCGCGTTTTGCTATTTTAATAGCTTGTAGATAG